CTTACTATTGCGACCTCGGCTATCACCCTCGTGTTCCCGCGGACTTCCTTCGACCGTCCCAGCTGCACCCCGGCACGAGTTGTCCCGCGCTGGACGATTGGGTTGCACACATGACGTCGATCATGAAGACCGCACATGAGCACATAGCCGCTTCCCAGACTCGCATGGCAGCACGTGCGAACCGATCGAGGATGGATTATCCATTCAAAGTCGGTGATGATGTGCTTATCAGCGCCCGCCACTTACAGCTCGAAGCGGACACGCTTCGCAAGTTTCGGCGTCGCTTTTTTGGCCCATGCCGCATCCTCCAGGCCGTCGGTTCTGATACGGCATCTAGCCCGGTCAGCTTTCGTGTGAAGCTGCTCGACTACCTACGCCAGGCTCGTGTGCACGATGTCTACCACGTCTTGTTACTGAGTCCTTACCGCAGACCGTCTCAGCGTTTCGTTGGACGACCATACGAGCGCCCTCCACCCATCATGGTGGACAGTCACGAGGAGTTCCTCGTTTCAGACATCATTGGTCGCCGAGTCACCGACGACAACSCTCCCCACGTCGAGTATCTCRTACGTTGGAAGGGTTACCCTGATGAGGAGGCTACCTGGGAGCCCCTCGAGCACTTGCAGCACGCTCGCATGTTGGTGCGTGCTTATGACCGTGCTCGTCGTGCTGGGTTCACTGCTCCTCCTCAGCCCACTAACCCTCCTCCTTCTCCCCCGGCTGAGGAGACCGCTGAAGTCGAGCCTGCTCCATCTGAGGCAGACCTTCAGCAGCAGCCGGATGCTTCTGAGCGTCCATAGCGCACTCGTCGTCGTCCTGCTCAATACGACGATTGACTCTGACTTACCTTCCCACGTCCTTGACTTCTTTATACTCCATCCACTCCAGTTTTTCTACTTCGGCTCGTCGACGTTGCGGCTCTTCCTCGACGACATTCCGGACTTCTCATCGTGGACGTCATCGGCAGCTTCATGGACTTCGTCACGATCAGCTCTGCCTACTTCAGACGTCGCCACTTTCTTACCACTTTACCCTGTACAGTACCCTGCTTGTGTCGCATGATGGTCTCCCTTTAGCTGGATTCCTCTGAGTTGGGCTCTCCCTTGGTATACGCATAGGCATCGGGACCGTAGCATTGCCCTGGCTTCCCATCTTACGGATCTAGCTCCGACTTCCCTCACTTTAGGAGTCATTTGCATGATTCCCTTACCCATCATCTTTCTACCCTTCGCCGGCCCTCACGCCCTAGTTAGGCAGCCCCGCATGCTTCATCTAGGTGCRCCCAGTATMYCARGYTCCCTTGTTCCCTTGCATGGTCGACCCTCCATAGTGGTCACCCCTTAGTCGAGCATTACCCGCCCTGATGGTCTATCTGTTAGGGTCATTGGTTCTGTTCGCTCCCAGTTCCCTACCCTCATTGAGCCTGATAACATGTGTTTTCCCTTGTCACTATGTGTGGATGCCCTTAGCAGTTTTCGACCCCTAGGCTGCATTCGCCACCCTCAGAGACCATCCCACCCTTTGGTTTGCGACACACTTGTCATGTGACATATGGTTGTCTTGTTGATTGCTTTGTTGCTCTCAGACTGAGGCTACTGCCTCCGACATTTCTAGGATTTAGTTGTTCTGCTTTTGCTGTTCTTAGGACTTATACACTAGTCAGTTGTTACCCGACTGAGGCTAGTGCCTCCAACATTCTAGGATCTAGTTGTCACTACTTTCTGCTTTCCTAGGACATGTATGCTAGTTAGTTGCTTTTGCTTTCCTAGGACATGTATGTTAGTTAGTTGCTTCTGCTTTCACTTAGGCTGTTAGCTGTGACATTGCTGTTTTGTGACATTTTATATCCTAGGTTGCATCGCATGGACTCAGCATGGAGCTTGCTCCGCATCCTAGACTACTCAGGTTTTCTTTTCTTTGGTAGAGTTCCGCTTCTTGGCGGAAGCACATTTGTATCTAGGCGATCCATCACAGGCCGAGGATCGTGTAGCGGACCTTGGGTTGGCCTGTGAGACCAGCCCCTTGGCCTGTTCTCACAGGCCTGTGTTGTATTCGGGGTAGGTCATTCCAGGCCAGTACCTCTGTCGGTACCAGTCAGTCCAGTCCAGTCCCGTCAATCCGCTGGGGTATACCCCAGCCATTGTTTGTTTTCAGTGGCATTCTTCACTTGCACATTTTGGAGTACGTGCGTTGGAGTCTTGCGTGGGGAGCTGCGTTGTGCCATCTCGCTCCCCCCTTCTTCCTCCATCTCCATCTGTATCGCTAGCGGAGCACCATACCTGGTGGGTCCGCTACATCGACGTTGTCCTTGGCTTGGGATGGCTGCACTCCCAATGCAAATGGACCAAGTGGAAGGAGTCACTTTTCATGGTCAAAGATGCTCAAGGGAACGAGCTTCTCGTCCTCTTGAATCAGAAGCATGAGTCCCCAGTGACTTTTTTGAATGCTAAAAAGTTCTGCAAGAAATGGCGCAAGCACAAAGAGGACGAACAATTGTATGTTGCCTTTGTTCGTCCTACCCATGTGCCATCTACTTTTGCGGTTAATACCACTGCTACTTCAGCTAGTGATTCTACTTCTAGTACTTTTACTTCTAGCACTTCTACTTTTTTACCTTCTACCAGTCCAAATGATCCTACTCCAGACTCGGTTGCCTCTATTCGCGACCTGCGACCTGATCTAGGTGATCCCTTTGCTGATCCTCCACCCCCACCGGTTCCACCAAACATCCAAAACCTACTCGATCGGTTCCCAGAAGTTCTGCCCGAGCCACGTGGAGTCCCCACGCGATCGGTCCGACACACCATCGAGTTAGTCGAGGGTGTTGTTCCTCCAAAGGGCTGCGTATACCGAATGGGACCCGGCGAGTTGGAGGAACTCCAGCGACAGATTGATGAAATGATTGACAAAGGGTGGATCAAGCCTAGTGAGTCTGAATTTGGTGCTCCTGTTTTGTTTGTTCCGAAGAAAGGAGGCAAGCTCTGCATGTGTATTGAGTATCGCGGTCTAAACCGCATCACAAGAAAGAACGCCTATCCATTGCCCCGCATAGATGACTTGCTTGATGTCGTAGGTGGGTGCAAGGTCTTTTCTAAGATCGATCTCAAGACTGGCTACCACCAGATTGAAGTCGATCCATCGGACCAGCACAAGACGGCGTTCAAAACACGTGATGGGCTTTACAAGTTTACCATAATGCCCTTCGGTCTCACGAACGCACCGACCACCTTCTAAAGCCTCATGGACAAGGTCCTTCGCGAACAGATCGGTCGGTTCGTGGTGGTGTACCTCGACGATATACTAATCTTCAGCAAATTCGTGGAGGGACACCTCAAGCACCTCGAGGAAGTGCTCACTATCCTCAAGAAGATGCAACTCCATCTCAACCTAGAGAAATTTGAGTTTGGGAAGGATAGAGTCATTTATCTTGGGCATCGGTTGTCAGCAGCAGGCCTAGAACCTGAGGCAACCAAGGTTGAGGTCATACGCAATTGGCCTCAGCTCGTGAACGTTCGCGAACTGCGCTCTTTTCTTGGTCTCGCGTCATACTATAGAAAGTTTGTGCCCCGCTTCTCCATTGTTGCTCGTCCATCGTCACGGTTGACAAGTAAAAATGTTCCCTATTCTTGGGACACCGCTTGCACGAACGCCTTTCAAGCTTTGAAAGAAACCCTGGTAAGTTACCCAGTACTCCGCATTGCAGATCCCAAATTGACATTGACATTCGTAGTTACTACGGATGCAAGTCGGTATGGAATCGGCGCAGTGCTGCAGCAAGATGACGGCGATGGCCTACGGCCGCTCGAATATTACAGCAAACACATGCCCAGCGAAAAGGTAGCCACTTCAACCTACATGCGCGTGCTCTATGCTTTCCGTATGGCTTTGGACCATTGGAAGCACTATCTTTTGGGACGCCACTTCAAAGTGTTTTCAGATCATGAGACTTGGAAGTGGATCAACGAGCAAACTACCCTGTCCCCTACGTTACCTCACTGGTTCCATGAAATTGACATTTTTGACTTTGAGTTGAGACACAAAAAGGGTTGATACAATCGAGTTGTTGATGCATTGTCTCGCCACCCTTAGTACATGACTTGCCTTGTGAAAGCCTACGACCTCCGGAAGAAACTGAAGGAGGAGCTCGTAGAGCACACAGCCAACGATCCGAAGCTTAGCCCCATCCTTGAGCGGCTGAGGGCTGACCCTAGCAGTCAGCCTGATTTTCACAAGTATGGAGGACTGATTTTCCGTCGCTACAGGAACCACGACCATTTGTGTGTGCCCAACCATAAGCCTCTCTGCACGCACTTTCTAGATTTGGCTCATGGCCGGAGCGGACACTTCGGCATGGCAAAGACGTACGCAAATCTGTTGAGACAGTTTGATTGGCCTGGCATGAAAGGGACTGCAGATAAGTTTGTGTTTGAGTGTCAAGTCTGTCAACGAATCAAGCCATGCAGACAAAAGCCCATGGGGCTACTCACACCGCTTCCCATTCCTGATGGTCCCGAGGAGCCTATCTCCATCGACTTCACCGACTTCGGAAAGGTAAGTAAGAACGACTACTCACAAGTCATGGTGATTGTTAACCGATTTTCTTAGTTCCTTAATCTGATTCCTTTGCCACCTCACGCTCCAGCAGAATTAGTGACCGTGAGTTCAAACAGAAGTACATTCTGCAGTTCGGAACCCCGAAGACTCTTGTGAGTGATCGAGATCCGCGCTTCATTAGTACTGAATGGAAGGACTTCACGTCCCAATTAGGGATCAGTCTGTGTATAACATTTGGCCGACACCCCGAAGCCAATGGTTTGGCTGAGGAGATCAACTAGACTATGTTTCAACTTCTCCGCGCCTCGATTATTCCGGATCAGGAAACATGGGATGAAGAGTTGTATTCCGTTAAGGGGTTGTACAACAACTCCGTCCATTCTACCATCGACATGACACCCAACAGGTTGCATTACGGTTGGTAGATCCGTAATCCGCTCTCCTACCTATTCCCTGAGCAGCCAGCTGGCTTAACACCTGGCAGGCCTGGCTTCAGGGCCAAGTATGATCGCTTGCTCAAGGTTGCCACTGCAACAATGACCAAGCGACGACACGCCATGATCCATCATGCAAACAAGAGGCGCCGACCATCAGATATTCAGGTAGGAAGCTATGTCTGGGTCAAGATGTCTGAATGTTCAGAAGAAGAGGGAGTCTCTCGCAAACTTCTCCCACTCTATTATGGTCCGTGGGAAGTTTTGGATGAGATTGGCGAAGATCACTTTGGCCCTTCATACGTAGTTGATGTGCCAGCCCATCTGCGCACATACCCTGTGTTCCATGCATCAAAACTATACGTCCACCGTGACGCTAAGACGTTCGATTATCGCGAAGACATGA